GAGGAGCAGTGGTACCGGCGGCCGCTGCGGGAGGTGCGATCTCGGGACAGGGCCGGGAGGCGTCTGGAAGCCCGGCGGTGGGAGTGGGGGATCCCGGGTCCCCGCAGGCTCCTTCCCCTGGGCTTCCCGGAGCTGGGAGCCCGCAGGAGGTTAAAGGTCAACGGGCTTAGGGGGCGCGGGGTTGGGGGACGGGGGAACGGGAGCACCCTGGAGGGCCGGGGTGGAGGAGGCAGGAGGAGGAGAAAAGGCTCCTGCCCAGCCCCTTCCTGATGGGAGTGGGGGAGCCCGGGCCCCCCCGGAGGCTCCTTCCCCTGGGCTTCCCGGAGCTGGGGGCCCGCAGGAGGTTAAAGGTCAACGGGCTTAGGGGGCGCGGGGTTGGGGGACGTGGGAACGGGAGCACCCTGGAGGGCCGGGGTGGAGGAGGCAGGAGGAGGAGAAAAGGCTCCTGCCCAGCCCCTTCCTGAGGCGAAGGCTGAGCTTGGGCAGTGTCCTTCCTTTTAATATTTATTTTTAATTAAAAAAATTTTTTTTGAGATTGGATTTGCCCCTGTCTCCCAGGCTGGAGGGGAGTGGCGCCATCCTAACTTCTGAGCTCCAGCAGTTCTCCCGCCCCAGCTTTGCAGTTTAGCTGGGGCCACCACGCCTAGCTAAGTGAAAACACACACACACACACACACACACACACACAACCTTATCCAGGCTCGGTGGCTCACGCCTGTTATCCCAGCACTTTGGGAGGCGGAGGCGGGTGAATCACCTGAGGCCAGGAGTTTGAGACCAGGCTGGCCAACATAACATGGTGAAACCTCGTCTCTACTAAAAATATAAAAATTAGCCGAGTGTGGTGGCTCACGCCTGTAATACCAGCACTTTGGAAGGTCGAGGCGGGTGGATTACAAGGTAGGAGATCAAAACCATCCTGGCTAACATGGTGAAACCCCGTCTCTACTAAAAATACAAAAAAATTATCTGGGTGTGGTGGCGGGCGCCTGTAGTCCCAGCTACTAGGGATGCTGAGGCAGGAGAATGGCATGAACTGGGGAGGCGGAGCTTGCAATGAGTCCGAGATCCCGCCACTGTACTCCAGCCTAGCAACAGAGCAGACTCTGTCTCAATAAATAAATAAATAAATAAATACTCACTCCGTTACCCAGGCTGGTCTCAAACTCCTGGCCTCAAGCCATCCTCCCACGCTGACCTCCCAAAGCGCTGATTACAGTCATGAGCCACCCAGACACTTGTCAGGCCAGAGCGACAGGCGCTGCACAGAACTGGGCCCGGGGATCGGGAGGAGGGGACAGTTTAGACATCCTGAAGTCAGCTCTGCTGAGGAGGGAAGGTCCCTTGGTTTTCATGGTTCAGATAGAGGACAGGACCTGACATCAGGCCAAGGACGCGACCCCTGTTCCCCTCCTGACTTGGATGTGGTCGGCAGAGAAGTGGGACCCGGTGAGGTCTATATCCTCTTTTTCCGACTTTGCAGCATTCAGTACAGGAGGGAGAGAGGAGGGGGCTGGGTGCCAGTGTGCGCCCCACTCACAGTGTCCTAAGCAAAGTTCCCCCCTATCCCCCCAACCAGCCTTCCTCCCTGTGACAGGCAGTGGGCCATCTGCCTCTTAGTCACGGGTCTGAACCTTCTTGCCTCTGGCTGGGATGTGGCCCTGGGCTCGCTCCTGTCTCAGGAGATATTGGGCCCCACCCATTCCAAGGAGGAACTCCTGGCTCCCCTGGCCCAGGTGCACGAACTGCCCTGGCAATTGACCTGTTATCAGCAAGTTATCTGTCTGTTCCGCCAAGAGTCCTCACAATGTGTCAGGGCTTTTGCACTAAGCCTGGGACACAGCTGTGCAGCACACTGGTCCCGGATCCCTTTGGGGGCCTAGGAGCTGAGCCCGGCCCTTCTCTCCACAGTCAGGCCCCACCCTGGACATGCCGGTTCCCTCCAGCTTCAACGACATCAGCCAGGACTGGCGTCTGTGGGATTTTGTCGGCTGGGTGTGGTATGAACGGGAGGTGATCCTGCCGGAGCGATGGACCCA